AACACGGCCCCCACCTACGACGGCTTTCATCCCAGGCGCTTTGCGCTCTTAGGTGACACCGAGCTCGAGCTCGTGGCCCGCTTCATGCACGCTTTCGAGGCGGTCGGCCTCCTGCCCTCTCAGGTGCGCGCGACCGTCACCATGCTCATCCCGAAGCACAAGCAGCAGGGGGGTTCCAAAGACAAGCCCAGCTACCGAGGGATAGGATTGATGAGTTCGATCTGGAGACCCTGGGCCAAGATAAGGCAGCCAGTAGCTCGACGATGGGAGCTTCAAAACAAGAGGCCTTATCTGGCCCATCAAGGAGGGCGAGGAATCTTAGAGACAGTTTTCCTGCAGGCCCTCGAGGCGGAATCGGCTCATTCCGAAGGTGTTCCCAGGTTCACTGCTGCGGTGCTCTGGGGCCTCTGAAACTACTACGAACACATCAATCGGGACATGGTTTTCCAGTGCGGTTGGCACAGGTTTCAATCAAGCTGTGGCAGTCTTGACTGCCAACCAGTATGGATCGCCCCGTCTAGTTGCCAACAGGTCGCAAGCAGTCTTCGTTGGCAGACCGCAGTATGGAGTGCCCGCAGGCTGCAGCTTCGCCACTCACGTTATACAGATGTATTGCATTGTGCCGCTCGATGTCTGGGTCCAGGGCAACATCGATACTAGCCTCCACATGTTTATAGATGACATCATCTTACAGGCCCAGGATAAGTGCCCCAAGACCCTGACCAAGACCCTTGCAGGAGCCTCAAAGAGTATGAAGGACACCATAGAGGAGGACTTAGATAGCAACATTGCCCTCCATAAGTCAGCCGTCCTCGCCTCCTCCTTAAAGGTCCGGGAGCCCCTGGTCAAGGCCCTCGGCTCACTGGCAGGACCCCAGGCTTTGGAGCGGGTCGACGCCGCCGCCAATCTCGGTATAGACTACACGGCTGGAGGTCGTGTCCGCAGCGGCCGTGGCCGTGCTGTTCTGAGCCTCCGTTTCAAGAAGATGAAGCACCGCAGGCGAAGGCTCCAGGCTACCAAAGAGGCTGGGGCTGACATGCGGAAGTTGTACAACACGGGCCTTGACCAGGCCAACCACTATGGGAGCGAAGTGGCAGGCCTGACCGACTCAGAACCCGCCCAGAGCCAGGACTTCTACCTCGGCACCGTTGGCCCCAGAAACCCAACGAGATCCCGAGTCCTGAACCTGTGCCTGCTGGGAGACCCCTCCTGGAAGGCCGTATTGGGGCCCATCATTTACTACAGTCTCCTGGTACGGAGGAGCTCGGCCCAACCTGGATTGCTAAAGTACAATCATGGTGATTTGAAACAGAAGGTGAACCAAATCTTGGACAACCTTCCAAAAAGCTGGAGTGCCTGCCGTGGGCCCATGGGGGCCGCCCTGATAAGCCTCAAGAGAATAGGTTGGAAGCTCCTCAACCCGTTCGAGATAGAGACGAGCCAAGGCCTAGTCCTCCAGCTCACTGCGACCCCGCCAGCCCTCCCCAAGTACCACCTGGATGACGCCTGGAAGGCGCAGCTCGAGTTTAAAGCAGCAGCCAAAATGGGACATCCTCAGGACCGCGTGGATTGCTCGGCCGCAAAAGCTGTTTTGGACGACCCGAACCTCACCAAGCCCCAGAGGGGCTGCCTCCTGGCCTACCTTACCCAATGTGTCTGGACCAGGTCCCGCTTGGCTGCATCAGGTTATGGGATCGACCAGGAATGCGAGTGCGGACGCCCGGCCGATGCCATGCAGCACCGTTTCAACTGCCAGCTCGCCGATGACATCAGAAGTGACACCGTAGAGGCCCCCGGTCTAGAATATCTTCGAGGGTGCCCCAGTGAAGCTCCACTAGCCCATGGTTTTCAATGCCTTCCTGAACCCGTGCTTATAAGGCCCTCGGGGGTCGGCTTTGCTTTTGAGTTCTGGCCCAAAAACGGAGACCCGCTCATGGAGGCCATGTCTGGCGAGGCCTTTGTTGACGAATCCTGCTATGAGCAAGGTCTCACCGTCTGGCACTAAACGGGCTGGTCGGTAGCTGTGATGGACGAAGCTGGCGACTGCAAGGCTCACCTGTCTGGACAGACAGGAGCCGCTCTGCCGCCCACATCAGGAGCCGCTGAGCATATAGCCCTGGCCATCAGCCACATGTACCCTAACATCGCCAAGGTCCACTCGGACCACCTAGGGGCCATTAGGAAGTACTGTCAAGCAGGCTTTGATTGAAAGAATATGTACCCTGGGCTGGAGCTAGTTGCCGAAGGTAAACACACTGGTGGTGCCCCCCCCAAGTTGGTAAACTAAAAGCGCATCAAGAATTAGACAGCCTCCCAGAAGGCCCCCGTGAAAAGTTCCTGGCCCTCGGGAACGACGCTGCCGACCGCCTCGCCAAAGCGGCCGCGAAGAAGCTCGGGGGCCCCTCGGAAGCCGAAATACATGACTACCATGCCGACCAGGCCTTCATCAAGCGTTTCCTGCGGTTCGTCTCACAAGCCATGCTCACCTGGCCCGCCATAGCGCCGAAGCCAGGGGGGAAAGCATGCGGGAAACCTGTCTCCAAGCCGGCTGTAAAGCCCCTTGTGGGTGCTGCCCTTATCGCCCCTGCTCCGATTCCGCCCCCCCCCCCCCCTCCCCCTGAGGGTCCTGGGGCCGCTGCTGGAGCCTCCCGTGGTCTGAGAGAACCTGGGCCGTACCACAAGTGGGTCTGGCTAGGAGGCAGATGGATGTGCGAGCTGTGTCGCACACGAGTTTTATCCATAGGGGTCAAGACCCGTCGCCTTCACGAGAGATGCCCAGGCACCTGCCCGAGCCTCTCCCACCTGTCCCTCAACCGTAATGGCCATAATATTTATGTTTTCGACCGCCTCGAGAATGAGAGCTGTGTTGTGGCCTGCTGGAACTGTGGAGTCTATTGTGAATTCATGGCCAGAGGTTTCCAGAAAGAGCGCCTCAAATAGCCCCAATCAAATAACAAGAAAACGGCTATACTCTGTTTCAGGTCGTTTAGACATCCCAAGGATGGCATGCAGGGCCCCATCGTCTTTGCTGCTCCCATTCCTCTTGGCATGATGATTCGAGAGACGCAACGCTCGTCGGGAATTTTAAGCAGCAGCAGCAGCAGCGGCAGCTAACCGCCAGAGAAGATACCATTCAGTCAGATGCGCTGGTCCTCCTCCTCCTCCTCCTCCTCCTCCTCCTCCTCCCTCCTCCTCCTCCTCCTCCTCCTCCTTCCCCTCCTCCTCCTCCTCCTCCTCCTGCTTGAGAAACGGGGGGTCACCAGCTGTGCTGCGTGCAGCTCTCGGCCCCGCCGCCAGGCGCTTGCCCCCCGGTGCACCGTCGCTCGGGGCTCCGGGAGGCGCCAGGATGCCAGTTGCTTGCTGCAGGCTTTAAATCGGGCGTGTCCCTCTACAGGAGGAATATTCAAAATAGTCAAAGCATAGTCTGGGGACGATGTTTCGATTATCTTTGGACTACTTATGAGTATTTCTTGACTGCTTTAAACCATTTCGTCCTGAATGTGCCTGTAGGAGGAAACACCCGACCTAGTGCTGGCTCGCTGCCCCGCCTCTGCGGACGACGTGTGTGCACCGTACCGCGCTCGCGTCTCCCGAGGCGGCGTCGGTCCTCGGCCCAGGAGTGGTACAGTGGAGGTCCATGTCAAGAAACACCATGCTTGCCTCCAGGGTGCCCTGGGTTTCTTCGGTTTCGATGGGTTTGCGATGGGAGGCATGACGTTTCCACACTAACAATGAATGGACTTCCTGGGGTCTCAGGGTCGGGTTTATTGTGGAAGTTTTCTTGTGGACTGGCCTCCACTGTATGGCGCATAGTTTCTCGGCCCCTTAGAGCCGAGCTGTTGTGCACCGTACCGCGTTGGGCGTCGGGGCGTGAGAGGAGTCCAGACATGGTGCGGTGCGTGGGCTCCGTTCTTGGACTGCCCCTCCCGTTCATCCAGCCCGACTCGGGCAGTCCGCGCGACCTGCTCTGTGTGTCGGGGGGGCCGTGAGAGAACGGCTCGGGGCGGGCGTAGGTCAGGGGGATCGAGGGCAGAGGAATCGACTTTTTGTTTCAAGGTTGATCTTTGTTGCCTGCCTATGTTCAACATCTGGGGTCAACTGCCTGTTCCGCGATGGCTGGCCGAAAGCCGGAGCGGGCTCGGCGGGCTGCCGACGTGCTTGCTATGTTCTGGACTGCCGCCTATTTTTTCGTTGTGGTTTGCCGAAACCGAAGATCTCAAGCACTAGAAGTGGAAAGCAGTGGAAAATGTCTCAGCGCGTAGACGTACACCTTATGCGATGCTTAAGAAAAACTAAGTTTTCGTCCAGAGTCTCGATTATTCTGAAATGTTCAATGTAAATCCCAAGATTTTGATAGAAGTTCTGGGTTACATTCAATTTCTGAGACTATGAATTTCTTAACCCATGATTTCTTAAGCATTTCGCAGGGTGTAGTGGGATCGAGGGTCGCAGGAAGGTGGCCCTAAATGGCCCCCGAACTGCCACCGCCAGGTTGAAAGGCGCACGACGGAGCCGAGCGTTTTCTCACCCCGCGTTGATTGCCCCTCCCGTTCGAAGTTTGTTTCACGTCGGCGGCCAGGCAGAGTAACTGCGCTGGTGGAGGGCGTCCTAAACGGGGGTGCCGTTGTAGCGAATTGCGCCACCATGCACGAGGAGGGGACAAAGCAGAGAGAACGGCCGCAAGCGGGGGCGGGAGGGGAGCGAGGCCGCTCAGGCCCCGTTAGAAAACACCTGACCGGGGGAAAGTCGGCCACGCGCAGAGGGGGGTAGGGTCGGGGGTAGGGGGAGGGGGGAAGGCTTCTTAGAAGCACCCCGAATGTTCAGACAGCGCGGGCCTTGCCTATAGATGTAAGGCTGGCGCCTTCTAAGAAGCAGCCCCCTTTGAGAAGCCTTATCCCTCCCCCTACCCCCTTCTGCGCGGCGCCAAGAGAGCGCCGGCACCGGGGTCCAGGGTTCGTTGTCCGCCAGGGCCCCCTCCTCCCCCCCGGTGCCGAGAGCAGGCGTGGCGGCGCATGAACAAGAAGGGCAAGGTCGACGAGAACCAGAAGAAGCGCACGCGCAAGGCGCAGAAGTTCCAGAAGGCGTCGCTCGCCCTCCCAACCCTCCTGGCCCCCAGCGGCCCTCGACCCTCATCTTCCTCCCTCCTCCTCCTCCTCCTCCTCCTCCTCCTCCTCCTCCTCCTCCTCCTCTCCTTCCCCTCCTACTCCTTCTCTTCTTCTTCTTCTTCCTCCCCCTCCTGCTCCTCCTTCCCCTCCTTCCCCTCCTCCTCCTTCCCCTCCTCCCCCCTCCCTCTCCTCCTCCTCCTCCTCCTCCTCCTCCTCCTCCTCCGTCCTCCTCCTCGTCCTCCTCCTCCTTCCCCTCCTCCTCCTCCTCCTCCTCCCCATCCCCTCCTCTTCCTCCCCCTCCTCCTCTTCCTTCTCCTCCTCCTCCGTCTCCGCCTCCGCCTTTGCCTCCTCCTTCCTCCTCCTCCTCTTCCTCCTCCTCCTCCTCCTCTCCTCCTCCTCTCCGCCTCCTCCTCCTCCCCTCCCCCTCCCCCTCCCCCTCCCCTCCCCCCTCCTCCTCCTCCTCCTCCTCCTCCTCCTCCTCCTCCTCCTCCTCCTCCTCCTCCTCCTCCTCCTCCTCCTCCCCCTCCCCCTCACCCTGCCCCTGCCCCTCCTCCTCCTCCTCCTCCTCCTCCTCCTCCTTCTCCTCTTCTCCTCTTCTCCTCTTCTCCTCTTCTCCTCTTTCCTCCTCCTCCGCCTCCTCCTCTCCCCTCCTCCTGCTCCTCCTCCTCCTCCTCCTCCCTCCTCCTCCTCCTCCTCCTCCTCCTCCTCCTCCTCCTCCTCCTCCTCCCCCTCCCCCTCCTCCTCCTCCTCCCCTCCTCCTCCTCCTCCTCCTTCTCCTCCCTCCTCACTACTCCTCATGCTTCCACTCATTCTAACATTCGGTCGACATGCGCACTCCTTGGTCTTCTATTATTTCCCCCGATGCGGGCTTGAATCTTTCCCCCGCCCGTCCCGCGTGCCGTCCTCTCGCACGCCGGAGGGCTCAAGGGATGGTGTCCGATCCGTTTGTTGCAGTTAGGCCGTACTCTTGTCCAGTCTCTTTGACCTCGAACGATGGGGCCGACAAGATTTTGAAGTTTGTTCTCGCATATTCCCTCCAGCCCATGCAACAAACGGCACCAGGCGAGCTGTCCTGATCGGGGATGTGTAGCAGAATGCAGTCACGCTCTGGGAGCCTTTTTTGGAAACATCTTAGAGCCATCGTGGGGCCCTATCGGGGCCATATTTGATGCCTTTGGGACTCTCGTGGGGCTCTCGTGGGGCCCTCTTGGTCTCTTTGGGAGGCGCTGAGGGGCATCTTGGCGGCCATCGATCAAAGACGGGGAGGGGGCTCGCCAATTACGGTCCCTTCACTCAGATGCCGAGCAATTTTTGGGGGGCCCTCTTGGGGCGATCTTGGGGCCGTTTTGGGCTCCTCTTCGGCCCCCTCCTGTGGCTCTTGGGCCAGATTGGAGCCATCTTGAGGCATCAAGGATCCATCGGAACGAAAAGGCGAGAATACAAAGTCCACTGTTTTTGCTCAGGTTTTGGAAGGAAGCGGGTTTGGGCTCTCTTGGGCCATAACGGAGCCATCTGCAGGCCTCGGGTCCATTGGAACGCAAAGGCAAACATACAAACGCCACTGATTGTCCCCAGGTTTGGGAAGGAGTCGGGCCTCGCAGCGGTCCTTGGGGGGGCCCCGCTGTCCATTTGAGGCCGCCTTGGGACGGCCATTGTGCCTCTTGGAGTCAGGGCGTGTGGACCAGCGACGGCCCCGCTTCTCCGGGACATCGCCGCCGCCAAACGAGGCGGCACCGGCCGCATTTTGGGGCGGGCACCTCCCCCGATCCATGGATTTGGAGACCGCGCGCCAAATGAATAGATCGCTAACCTTCAGTCGGGCCTGTCATCCTACGAAAAATAAAGAATAGTCCAAAAATATCCCCACATGGTCAAAAATGCTAAAACATCGCTCCCATATTATTGTCATAACTATGTTTGAATATCTCTCCTGTAGAGGGACCGGCCCGACTTAACGCTAATCCATGCTTGCGCGCCCCTGACTCCTTGTGCGACCGTGGAGGCCATCTCTCGGGCCACTAGAGGCCGCTTTTGGACGCTCACTAGCGGCACACGGCCGGGCCCGTCCAGGGATCGGGGAGACGCAGGATTCCAGTACGCTTAAGTCGGGCCTGTCCCTCTACAGGAGGAACATGCAGAAATACAGACGGAGGAGGACGGCCGAGGGGCCGGGCTGGAGGGGGAGGCCGAGGGGGCCGACCCAGAGGGGAGGGGCGCGGACAAGGTGGGGCAGGTCTGGGGGGAGCTGGAGGGTCCGCGGCAGACATGTGCAGAGGTTACATGTCAGTGACTTTTCGAACTGGGCAAAAGGTATCTCTCTCTCTCTCTCCTTCTCTCTTTGTCTTGCTCCTTCCCCCCCCTTCCTCCCCCCCTTCTCCGCGACAGACGCCTCCGCCCCAACGTAGCCTTCGTCGTTCTCCCAGAGGCGGCGCCCCAAACCACCATTGGTCCTCGAGCCTCCTCGATATTCGAATCTCGAGGACCTAACGAGCCTCTCGCGCCCGCTGCTGCTTTTTCAGTCCCTCTCAGTCAGCCCGGCGGTCGGAAAAAAGGCCATCGTCGGCATGTCCCTCGACGACATCAAGAAGAAGAAGGCGTTGAAGCCCGAGCTTCGGCAGCAGGCGAAGGAGCAGGCCGCGAAGGAAGCAAAGGCACGCCGTGCGGATTGGAGGAGGGAAGTGCCAGGGAGGAGAAGGCGGAGCGAGGAGGGCCAGGATAAGGTGGAGGGGGGGGGGAGGTGGTGGAGGAGGAGAACATCCGGAGTCTTTTTCGCTGAAGCCGCTAAGCAGCGAGCGGAAGCCCCGTTGCTCAAGCCAGCATGGTGATGTTTCCCTCGGCCAGAACAGCTGGATGCCAGCGTCGAGCTGCCCATGGTGATGGCTACGGGCAGGGTTGCGCGTCGGGCGATCCTCGGAGAAGTCGAGCGGCGCTTACAGCGGTCGCGAGGAGGGCAATGGAGAAGTGCGAATGCTGCTATTCGGCGCTTGAGTTGCCAGTTGGAGGAGGCTCATGCCATGATCGTGACCCGGGGCCCGCGCATTCCTTCCATGATTTTTCGCGAAAGTGTTTGTGATGAGTTGAGTGATGAGTTGCATGCCAGGTTGAAACCAATGAATCCTGTACTAGCGGCTGGCCCTTCGGGATCGATGGTGTCGGGAGTGGCGAGGGCAACACGTAACCTCGTTTTCCACGACTTCGAGTCTTCCGCGCAAATCATCGAGAAGTCCTCGCATATTGAACTGGACACCATCCAGCGGCGTCCTATGGGGCATGATGAGGTGCTGCATTTGGAAGCGCCCAAGGTGCCTACGGTGGTACAGCCTGCGCTCCAGGCACTGACTGTGCGGTGCGCGTGCTGTGCGGTGGCTTTCTCGTCGTGCTTTGGGACGCCTCGCTGGAGCGCCCCCACGTGGGACGGGGACCTCTGTCCAGAGGCGCTGCGGAGTGCTTCGTTTTGCTGGAGGTGCTCCACATATTCCAGTGGTCAGCTTCCCAGGCGCTGCTCGGCAAATCGCGAAACGACAGCTTTTCGTCCGCCGCCGCGCGCGCCTCGCCGGCGGCTGGAAGGAGATGCAGCACGGGCATGCGGCTGGAGTTTTCGGGCCCGTGTGGGGGATGATTGCCGAGCGATCGGGGCCGCCGCTGCTCAGCGGCGTGGAGTTCGAACGGGAACCCGCGCTGACCGTTCGGGCTGAGCTCGGCCAGCGCCTTCGGCGGCGTCAGTCTTGGACCGTCCATTCGTCCAGCGGCTGGCGCGGCTTCACAAACAAACAACGGCAGTGCTGGCATCTTGGGTATCGGATCGTTTGCCGACGCACCTTGTGAACACCGTGTGTGCTGCGCTGTGATTATCCTCGCTGACTTCGTGGATGCCGTCTACATGGTCCTGGACTTGGTTCGCATCGTTCGAGGAGGGTGGGCGTTGTGTCGTGTGTGAGTTTCCGCACATTCGCTGGATCTGCGTGCTCTTGTTGGAAGAGGAGGAGAAGGAGGTGTAGGTGAGAAGAACGAGGATGATGAGGATGAGTTGGAAGAGGAGGAGTGGGGCTGAGGAGCAAACGCAATACAAGGAACGGAGGAGGACGACGAAGACGAGGAGGATTGATGAATTTGAAAACGAGGAGGATCAGGAGAAGGAGGGCGAGGAGGAACGCGTGGACGAGGAGGAAGAGCGAGGAAGAAAAGGTGAAACAGGAGGAGGAGGAGGAGGAGGAGGAGGAGGAGGAGGAGAAAAGGAGGGTGCGAGGAGGAGAACCAGGAGGATGCATAGAGGAGGAGGAGGAGGAGGAGAGGAGGAGGAGGAGGAGGAGGGGGATGAGGAAGAGGAGGAGGAGGAGGAGGAGGAGGAGGAGGAGGAGGAGGAGGAGGCGGCTGCGGCGGCGGCGCTCCACACGAGTCCAACGGGGGTCGGACTAGGGAGGACTGGGGGGCACCCCCACATCAGGATGCTCGGTGCCTCACTTCACGAAGGGCGCTCGCGGCAGTCCCCGTGCATGCACGGGAGCTGCCAGCGCTCAGCCGTTGCCAGTGAGGCTCCCCACCGAGCCTTCGGGAAGCGAGGCGCAGACGAGACGCCCGTGTCCCACTCTCGGCCCACCAGCATGCAGCAACGGCCTGGGAGGAGGACGGGTGAGCAGGCGCAGTGCCGATCGAATCCACAGCGAGGCGCGGGCGACAAGCATCCGCACGCGGACGCCAGGCCCCACGCACGCCCCCCGTGCCACCACAGCAGGGAACGGCACCCCCGCGGGTGGTGGGGAGAGGCTGACGGCCCAGCGAAGCGGGAAACGGCAAGGGGAGTGAGGAGGGACGAACGACAGCAGCAGGGGGGAGGAGGAGGAGGAGGAGGAGGAGGAGGAGGAGGAGGAGGAGGAGGAGGAGGAGGAGGAGGAGGAGGAGGAGGAGGAGGAGGAGGAGGAGGAGGAGGAGGAGGAGGAGGAGGAGGAGGAGGAGGAGGAGGAGGCGGAGGCGAGGAGGAGGAGGAGGAGGAGGAGGAGGAGGAGGAGGAGGAGGAGGAGGAGGGGTAAGTACAAGTTACACCGGCACAGACGGACATGCCAAAATGACAACGTTGAATCAACGAATTGTCCACTGGTCCAGGCAGCACGAAACAGTACTTACCTTGAGGCTTTGAAGCCAACGCGCCACTGGACCGCCCCTGGCAGGGGCAGCGCTGCATGACAGAGAGAGGAGGGCTGAGGCACCAACATACTTGTTCGCCTCTATCACCCTCTGGCCTTGTAGCTCCAAGTTGCCAGGAGGCCTCGGGCGCCTGCTGACGCTCATGGGCCTCGATGGCCTGCACGAGCGCCCGCTCAGCCTCTTGGCCCCGCACTGCAGTGATGAGACGCCTCCTCTTACTGTCAAGCATCTTCTCAGTCCTGACGCGGCCTGCAAAGTGCTGGGGCCCCCACTCGACCCAGGTAAGCTTGGCCTTCAGGGGCTCAGCAGACGACTCTAAACAGGTGATCGCTGCTGTCGTCATCTGAAGCGTGTCAGAATGGCCCAAACCGTGGCTTGCCTTCCCCTTGACTCTCGGGAGGTACTTCTCTGCAAGCGCTGTGGCCATAGTACGACCCAGTCTACTTCCCGTTGCCAACACGGTCTGGGTCGCGCGTGCAGACTCAAGCCACCTGATCTTCTGACGTGCAATCACGCCACGTGTGACCGCAAGAGACGTTTTGTCTTTCTATTCCGCCGACACCACTGCCCGATACTTGATACCTCTCCCCTGCGGCTCGGCCGTAGGGTCGCTCGGGGCCGCTCTCGAGAACGGACTTCCACGTCCTTGTCACACAAGAGGCAGAGCGATGACTGAGAGCAATCCCCAACTGAAGCCGAGCTTACACGTTTGGTTATGCAATCAAGCGTATCTAGGCAGACGGTCGATACCCGAACATATGTTCCCTGACAGCAAAGAGTACGCGAGGAATTCAACGTCGCACACATGCGCGTGTTCTGTCTTTGCCCCCCTATTCTTAGGGCGCCATCCCCTTTCCGACAATTATGTTCACGATGTTCCGAGGCATACCTGGTTGTCCGATGGAATAATAACTGGTTACACCGCATACGATCGTTACATACAGGGAGTACCTCTGCAAGACACGTTTTCCGCTGTCCTGCGGCCTGGGAGTTCGCCTGGTGCAGCAGTAGTGGACACGGCCTGGGAGTTCGCCTGGTGCTGTCCTGCGGCCTGGAAGTTCCTGAAGCCAGCTCAGCTCCGCAGCCACTCATCTCGCACACGTATGCAGCATGATACACTGGCTCGGGCACCAGAGGTGGAGGAGGAGGAGGAAGAGGAGAGGAGGAGGAGGAGGAGGAGGAGGAGGAGGAGGAGGAGGATAAGGGGGCGGCGGCGGCTCCCGGCGCAGACGCCCGCGCAGGCGCGCCAGACAAAGGTGGCGAGCAAGCCGAAGGCCGTCGCCAAGGGCAAGGCGGACAACAAGGCGCCCAAGGCCAAGGACGCGCCGGCCGCGGGCGCCCCCAGGGGGCCTCGAGGCCCCCGCCCCCCGCCGCCCCGCCTCGGGGCGGGCGGAGGGCCCCGGTCCCCTCCCCTCCCCCCCCCCCGGGGGGGCGCGAGGGCAGCCTTTGCTGCGCGCGTCGCGCTCCCGACCAGAGTGGCTGCCCTTCCCCACGGGGCGCGCGCGGGGGCGCCACGGCCCGAGGGCGCGCGCGCGCGTCGCGGCCCGAGGGCGCGCGCGCGCGTCGCGGGGCGCGGGGGCGCGGGGTCGGGGGGACCCAGGGTGCCGCCAGGATTCCCAGAGAGCCCCCCGAGGCTTCCGCGCGAGCGCCCCCCGCTCGGGGCATGGGGGGGGCCTCGGGGGGGGGCGGCGGAGGAACTTCGGGGCCGCCGCGCGGCGGGGGCAGGCCGCACGCGCGGGTCAGGCGGTCTGGGCAACGGGAGGCGCGCTTTTCCTTGGCGGCAGGAGGAGAGGAAGACGGGCGAAGGCGGCCGCGGGGGGAGGAGGGGAGGGAGGGGAGAGCACTCACATGGCGAGGCGCCTCGCCGTTGAGCGGCCCGGGCTGCCAGCCAGTGGTGCACCCCTGGCAGCGGGCGCGGGGCGGTGGGGGGAAGGAACAGGCCGGGGGCGCCGGGGGGCCACGGCCACCTCGTGCAGAGCCCCGCTCGAAGCTCCGGCAGCGGGTGCTTTTCCGCCCTCGGCTTCTGCCTTTCCCGCTGGGCCTGTCGCTGCCGCTCCCGCGGCTCCCGCGCCCCGCCCTCCTCGCCCTCGCCCTGTCTCCCCCCCCTTTTCCCCGTCCATCCCCCCAGTCTGTCCCCTCCCGCCCCCCTCGACTAGACGTAAGAGTGACTTTTCGCCGGAATGACCTTTGGTGCGGGCCCACTGGGATCTCCCGATCGCGGAGCGCGAAGCGGCAGCAGCGGTTTGCGCTCCTGGGTTTGGCCACCCCGCGTCCCCCGTGAAGTCGCGCACCAAGGGTACCTTTTGCCTAGGGGCGCTCTTACGGGTAGCCGACACGTATCTCTCTTATGTGCACCGGCCTCCACCTGTTCGTCTTCCTTCTCTGCCTTTCCTTGTCGCCTTTGTCCCCTTCTCCATTTCTCTTTCCACCCCCGCTCGTCCCCATCTGTCATTCCGTCACCCCCCTCTCGTCTCCCTGCTGCGTACCTCCTCATCGCATTTTTATTATCCGTAAGGGCTTCGCCCCCATGCCGCCGGCCCCCCTCTCATAGAATAGGACTTGCCAAAGCTGCGTTGGGATGTCTGGACGCTGACGTGAAGCAATGTCGGGAGTTCACGCGAGGGCCAATACTAATTTTCAATAGTTTATGGCTCTGGTGGCGCGAATATTTATTCATTTACAGTCGTTTATGTCTTCGGGGACGCGAATATAGCGTCATTTACAAGGCTTTGTGCCTCGGGGACGCAAACATATAGTATTTGATTTAAGTTTGTGGGCTCGGGGGCGCAAGTATTGTATAATTTAAAAGGGTGTATGGTTTCGGGGACGCGAATCCAGTGTAATTTGCGAGGGTTTGTGGCCTCGGGGACGACGGTGTAATTTACGAGGGTTTATGGCCCTAGGGACGCGAATGTTGAATCATTTTCTACGGTTTATGGCTTGGGGGCGCGGGACTTTTATAATTTATATGGGTGTATTGTTTCGGGGGCGCGAATTTCGCGTAATTTACGATGGTTTACGGCTTCGGGGACGCGATTATTGCGTAATGTACAAAGGTTTGTGGCTTCGGGGACGCGCATTTTGTTTAATTTACGATGGTGTATGGGCTCGGGGACGCGAGCATGGTGTAATTCACGAGGGTATATGGCCTCGGGGATGCGAATCTTGTGTAATTTGGGAGGGTTTGTTGCCTCGTGGACGCAAGCATGGTGTCATTTACGACGGTTTATGGTACTTTCGACGCGAATGTTGAATAAGTTTCGAAGCTTTATGGCTTCGGGGACGCGAACATTCCATAATTTACATGGGATTCTGGTTTCGAGGATGCGAATCTTGTGTAGTTTACGAGGGTGTGTGACCTCGGGGACGCGAACATTGTATAATTTGATAGGGTTTACAGCGTCGGGGACGCGAGTATCATGTATTTTTACATGTTCTTCGCCCCCCAGGAATTCAGACAACGCGATTTGGGGACGCTAACCAGGATGCTTTTCGGCTCCCCCCCGTTGCCCGTTCAGCAACAATTTTCAGTAAGGAAGCAGAAAGCAGGACTGTAACATTGGAACCTGGAAGCTGCAACTGAAACAGGCAGCTGCAATCCTCACCCTCGCAGCCTGGTGGCCCCGCAAGGGGTCTGGCGGATAGTTGATCCTTGCTCTTTGTTTTCCCTCTTCCCTCTCCTCATCCATTCTCCCTCCCATGTTGTCCCTGCCTTGCTCTACTCCCACATCTTGTTGCGCTTCCTCCTCTCCACCCCATTCTTGCCTTCATATCTCCTGACTCTTCCCTCCCTCCCTTTCCTCACCCCTCCCATCCCTTCCTCCTTCTTCTCACCCACGCCCTTCCTTCTCCTCCCCGCTCCACCTTTCTCCCTTCGCGGCCCCCCTCGTGCTCCGTGCCGATCCTCCCGTCCAGCCTGCCAGGACATGAAGGGTGGCGCGCAGAACAAGAGCAAGGGCCCCAAGATGCCTGGGAAGATGTGAGTCCCCTTCTCGGAGGGCGTCACATTTGCACACCCGCACCGATCTCGGCCGGAGCAGCCCCGGGGTAATGGGTCGGCGCATCTGCATGCCTGGCCACCGGCGTATTGTTTTTGTACCGAGCCTGGTTCCAGGATGGGCCTGGCCACTGGGGGAACTGGGGGAGGAGAATGAGGGGGAGCGGGAGCAAGGGGAGGAGGATCAGGAGGAGGAGGAGGAGGAGGTGGCACAGGAGGTGCAAGAGGAACGCTGAGGACGACGATCCGCGTCGGGGATTTATCCATAACCACCAACTGGGGAATTGATGCTTGCGGACCTCGGCAGGCTGTGGATGTGGACATGCGCGTAGCATCCCGCACTTGCGGATAAGAGTGAGGCGGCGGCAGGGTCGTCGGCAGTTTGCGAGGCTCTGAAAAAGCCCGCCGGAGGCGCCGATTTGTTCACAAGCAGTTAGTGGTGTTGGGTCTTCGTTTTGAAAAGACTGCGCCCCGCGTCTCCCACCGCCTCTCCTCTCCTTCCTCCTTTTTCTCCTCCTCCTCCTCATTCTCCTCCTCCTTCTCCTCCTCCTTCTCCTCCTCCTCCTCCTCCTCCTCGTTCTCCTCCTAGTCATTCTAACTCGGGCACCCGCCCGTCCCCGTGGCTTGCGGGGCGCGTCTGTGCCCTTCCCCTCCCTCCCTGTTCTCCCCCCCATCCCCCGTGTGTGCCATGGTCGTCGCCTCGCGTCTGGCATGGACTCGGCGGCAGGTCCTGAGGTGAAGCTGACCATCGACATGAGCATGCGGGTGTCGCCGTTCGCTCAGCTCGCAAACCTTGGTCTGGTCGATCATCTTCTTCAGATGTCCGGCACCCATCTGACAGTGGATCGTGGTCACCGCCATTCGGACGGACGGCACGAAGTCGCTCGGTGATCATCTGTGCGGCCTGTGCGCCACCTGCTCGGTCCTCCTGCTGAGGATGATGATGACGATACTTGAGGTGGCGGGGCTGACCCTGGTGGCAGAGGTGGGCACTGCCATCGGCGACGTGCTGAGCCTGACGAGCCTGACCCGTGGCATGGACCTGGCGGTAACGACCCGTATGGCCGTTGGTGGGCAAGTCTAACCGGCCTCGTCGATGTGGAGAAGCTGGCAGCCCAGTCCCTCGCTTGCCCGGCGTCTCCCATTGCCCCGATTTTGCTTGGAACCGAGATGTACCCGAGTCCAAGATGCCGCCTAGAGGTGATGCGGATGTCCTTCTCCGGGAGCTTGTCCATGGAATGCTACGTTGTGGTGCGGTTTCTGTTTGGTGTCCTGGAGTGCTACCTGGCGGCGCTGATCTGCCTGTCGCAGTGTCTCTTCGCGATGTGTATGTTGGCGGGGATTTACCTGGGGGTGCAGACCTTCCTTGTGAAGAACTCCCTGCAGTGATACTTGGTGGTGCGGATATTCCGGAAGATGTGTTTCCTGGAGGCTACCTGGAGGCGCGGATCTACCTGGCGAAGGTCTTTGTGGGGAAGTGTTCCCTGGGTCCCTGGGGTGCTGCCTGGTGGTGCGGATCTTCCAGGTGAGCTGGTTCCTGGGGGCGGGAATGTTTACGGAGTGCTGCCTGGAGGGGTGGTTCCGTCGGGCGCTGTGCCCCATGGACTGCACCAGGTGCGGACGTTCCTGGTGCAGCTCGTCTTGGCCGAAGGAGTGTTTGCGGTGGTCTATCCGGCGGTGCGGATATTCATGGTGAAACCCGCCCTGGGACAGAGCTCCTTGGCGTACCTCCTGGTGTTGCGGAACTTCAGCGTGACACCACAGCAGCCGCGTACAACACAGCGCCAGTGTGTGCCACAGTGCCCGCGGGCACCACGGCGCTTGTGTAAACCACAGCGCCCGCGTACACCACATCAGCCGTGTGCAACACAACACCAGTGTACAAACAAGTGCTTGCGTGTGCTACAGCGCTTGTGTACACTACGGCGCCTGTTTGCACCACGCCAATCGTGTGCAACAGAGCATCATAGTGGCATGTAGAATTTTAAAAAGGAATCCAAATGGCAGAATGGAGCTCCTATGGATTCCACAGCAAACAATTGTTTTATGTAGCGCCGCTGGACAGCATCCTAACTCCTCCAATCTGCGCCCAGGGAGCTCCAGCAAAAGTGGCCGTCCCAGAACCTAGTGGACTTATTCAATAGACCGTTCTGCGGTGCACGCGGAGATGCGCACGTGCGCTGTTGCGCCGGCCCGCACGACAGGAGGGAAGCGTGACGGAGGGGGAGGAGGACGAGGAGGGGGAGGAGGAGGAGGAAAAGGAGGAGGCGGAAATGGAGGAGGAGGCGGAAGTGGAGGAAGAGGGAGGAGGGAAGACCGTCGCATTCTATTATCAGCACTTCCGTGGTGTGGCGCTTAGCTGTCCGCAGCAGATCCTCACGGGCACGCTCCCTCTACTTGTCCTCCTGTGCAAGCAGGCGCTGTGGTGTACACCAGCGCTGCGTTGCACGCGGATGCTGCGGTGTAGACAAGCGCCGTGGTGTGCACATGCGCTGCGGTGCACGCAAGCACTGGTGTAAACGTGCGCTGTGTTGCACATGGTTGCTGCGGTGTACACAGTTGGTGTGGTGTACAGTGCCGCTGTGGTGCACGCAAGCACTGTGGGGCACACGTGCGTTGTATTGCACATGGCTGCTGCGGTGTACACATTCGGTGTGGTGTACACAGGCGCTTTGGTCCACGCAAGCACTGTGGTACACAGGCGCTGCGTTGCACACGGCTGTTGCGGTATACTCGGACGCTGTGGTGTACACGCGCGCCGTGGTGCACGCGAGCATTGTGGTGTACACAAGCGCTGTGGGGCAGATCGCCACCTACATGCTGCTGCTCGCGTCTTCGTCGTCGTCGTCGCTCGTCGCTCGCCGCTCGCCGCTCATGTTCGTCGTGCGCGCGGGCGCGGCTGTGGTGCCGGAGCCAGACGGCGGGGAGGGGGGGGCGTTACATTATACCCGCCCCGCCCCCATGACGCCCATCATCGTCGAAAATATAGAAACGCGCCCGTGACTACGTTCGCATGTGCCTACCGCGCCCAGTTTGGCCCACCCTTCATACGCTTTGTGGCCCTATTGGGTGTTCCACCGAAGGCCCACATGCCAGCGTTCGCATGCGTCCACCGCACCCACTTCGGCACACCCTCACACGTTTCGCGGCCCCACAGGGAGTCCCACCGACGGTCCCAACGGTTGCGTCGCATGCGCCCACCGCACCCATTGTGGCACACCGCTTGCAAATTTTGCGGCCCAACAGGGACTTCCATCTACGGCCCCAGTGTCTGCGTTCGCATGCGCCCACCTCACCCATTGCGGCACACCACTCGCGCGGCCCACATGTCAGCGTTCGCATGCGCACGCCGCGCGCATGTCGGCACACCCCTCACACGTTTCGCGGCCCCATCGGGATCTCCACCGACGGCCCCAATGGCTGCGTTCGCGTGCGCCCGCCGCACCCATTCCGGTCCACCCTTCGAACGCTTCTCGACCCCATTGGGACCTCCACCGAATGCATTGCATACGACGACGGTATTCGCAACTAAATATGGTTTGGCCCTTCTCCAGTTTGTTTGTTTTCTCCTGTTCCTCCTCCTCCTCCCCCTCCTCCTCCTCCTCCTCCTCCTCTTCCTCCTCCACCTCTTCCTCCTCCTCCTCCTCCTCCTCCTCCTCCTCCTCCTCCTCCTCCTCCTCCTCCTCCCTCTCTTCCCTCCCCCCTCCTCCCTCTTCCCCCTCCTTCCGCTCCACCGCCCCAGTGGCTGATTTCGCATGCGCCCGCCGCACCCATTTCGGCATGCCCGTCGAGCGATTCGCGACACCAAGGGGAGTTCCACCGAACGCCGCAGTGGCTGCGTTCTCGTGCGCCCGCCGCACCAATTTCGGCACGCCCCTCGGACGTCCCGTGGCTCCGTAGGGAGCGCCGCCGGAGCCCCAGGGGCTTGCACCGAAGACCCCAGCGGTTGCGTCCGCATGGGCCTGCCGCGCCAATTCCGGGGTTCCCTTCACACCTTTCGTGGTCCCACGGAGCTCCAACGAACCCCCAGGAGCTACGTTCGCGTGCGCCCGCCGAACGTAGATCGGCACACCCCTCGCAGGTTTCGTAGCCCCACCGGGAGTTCCACCGAAGACGATCGTCACAACTGCGTTGCCCACAACTGCACATGGTTGAGTCGTTCGCCAGGCTGATTGCAATGCACTGCGCAACGAGCCCGCCGCGGGCGCAGGTTTGTTCCGTCAGAGCAATGTTGGTACGTCGCCCGGTGGTTCGATGGGGGGGTCGAGGGTGGGCCGCGGGCCGGATCGCGGGTGGGTCGTGGGGCGGTTCGCGGGTGGGACGAGGACAAGCAACATTTTCAGCGCCGCGGATCTCCACTTCAGCCACACGTCCACGGACAGTGAATGACCGTTCGGCCCCCTTATTTTGATGTTCGGGCCTCCTGGGACCAAACTATAGTCATGCCTCTTCGACCACCCTTCGGGTGATAAGGAGGTTCGGGGGGAGGAGCCAACTTTCCATTGAATCGACCTCACTATCGATCTCACTGTCGATCTCGTTATCGATGTCACTATCGATGTCACAATCGATCGCTCTATCGATCCAACTCTCGATCTCACTATCGATCTCCTTATCGGTCTCACTATCGATCTCACTATAGGTCCCACTATCGATCTCATTATCGATCCCATTATCGATCTCGCTATCGATCTCACTAGCGATCTCACTGTCCCTCTCGCTATTGACCTCACAATCGACCTCACCATCGATCTCACGATCGTCGATTTCACCATCGATCTCACTATCGATCTCACGATCGTCGACCTCACTTTCGATCTCACGATCGATCTCACTGTCGATGCCACTATCGATCTCACTATCGACTCACTCGATCGATCTCACTATCGATCTCACTCCATCGATCGCCTTGTCGATCTCACTATCGATCTCAATGTTGATCTCACTATCGATCTCACTCGATCGATATCACTATCGATCTCACTCGATCGATCTCACTATCGATCTCACTCGATCGATCTCACTATCGACCGCACGATCGATGTCATAATCGGTCTCACTATCGATCTCATTATCGATCTCACTACGGGGCACCGACGGGACACCATCAGGACACCACGACGGGGCACCCTTGCAACCGCCAGCCAACCGGGGGGGGGGGGCGTTTTCTGGTCTGGCGGCGCCCTAGCCAGAGAAGGGTTCATCCCTTCGTCCGCCCGTTCCGTTTCGCCTCGAACGCGCGCACGACACGAGCACGACACCGAAGCCGCTTTCCCGGTGGGGGCTCTCCGTTTCACTGCGATCCCACCCCGTCCTCTCCGGTCCTCCGCCCGCTGGGGTCGCAGGACGTCGGCTCCCCCGGGCGGTGGATGTGGATGTAACCCAAGAGTGTGTTACTTTTTAGGTTTGGTCTCAAATATCCTTTGGTCCTTGGTCCCCAAAGAAACAAGTTCTCTGGTCCCCAACAAAAATCTCCGGCGTTCCAGAAGGGGCCTTGCCGTTTCGGAGGAGGAGCGAGGGAGGGGCGCCTGGCCCTCGGCGGCAGGCGGCGGAAGCTCCCGCGGAGGCGGAGGCGGGAGTGTACCGCGAGGGCGGCGCCTCCAGGCGTGCGCCCGCGGAAGTGGCGGGTCTCGGGGGCCCCCAAGACGGTGCGGTGACCGCACCGTGCGGTGAGTCGGCGGGGCTTCGGGGTCACCGCACGGTCTTGGGGCTCGGGTCCCTCTCCGAGGACGCCTCGGGCGACGGGGGCCTCCGGGGTCCCAAAACCGGGCGGTGGCGGACCGTGCGGTGAGGTCTTGAGGGATTTCGAGGTCACCGCACGGTCTGTCACCGCACCGTTTGGGGGATCCAAGGGTGCGCCCCCCGCATCGGCACGAACGGAATGGGTACGTAAAGAATGGGTACGATGCGCAACAGCAGTTCCTGTTCATTTTGAACAGGACTCGCTGTCCGCGCCGCCGCGGCCTGTGTCCATTCGAGACAGAAGGCCGACTGTGTCCAGGAGGCCGCTGTTGGTTTGGGACAACATTTGTTGTTGGGCATTGTACCCATTAGGGTTTCCGGGGCCCGCCATACATGCATCTTCGCCTCGAAGACGAGGATATCAGGCATTGCACACTTGGGGGGGCGACAGATGAGGGTGGGAAGGAAGGTGCACCCTGGGGCCCCCCCAAGGAACCCTCTCGAGCCCTAAGCGACGCCCGACGATGGCGACGAGGGTGACGACGGCGGCGAGTCGGTGTGTCAGGAGGGATAAAGCCTCACAGACACAACACAAACGATCTTCGATCCCCCGAAAACATAGAAAATATGGGAAGTGGAGGGGACGACGAACGTCCAGAACGTCTGGAAAAACATGGGGGAACCCTCGGATATGTGGTGATATTGTTATATTCATTGTTTTGCCGATCGGCGCTGGCCCTCGCACCCTCCCCCTCTTCGCCCCTTCTGGAGTAGATCTTGGCTGTTTTGGGCGCCTGCTTCGAGCAGGTGGGGTCTCCCTCCTAGGACGCACTGCTGCAAACAGTCGCACTCAGCAGAAGTCTGGAGCCAGACCCCCCTCCCTCCCCCCCTCCCTTCCCGCCCACTGTCGACACGCCGAATACACGAACACGCTCACGTGACTCACGCGTCTCTTGCTTTGGGAGGAGGAGGAGGAGGAGGAGGAGGAGGAGGAGGAGGAGGAGGAGGAGGGTGCCCCTGGCCCCCCTTCGGTGTGGGCGTGCAGCACACGGAGCTCCGCCATCCCCCCCCCCCGGCTCCGCCCCTCGGGCGCGGCGCGCACGCCCCCCCCGCCCCCCTCCGGCGCGGCCAGCGCCCCCCCTCCGCGGGCGCTGCCCGGCCCGCGGAAGGCCTCGTTGCCAGGCGCGGCCTTCGGAGCGCAAAAGGAGGGTGGAAGGCTGGAGGACGGAGGATCGAGGGGGGCGAGGGATGAGGGGGACAGAGTGAGGGGGAAGAGGGAGGATGGCGGATAGGGAGGGGAGAGGGACGAGGGTCGGAGGATGGAGGATCGACGTCTCCTTGCTGCGGCTGTCGGGAGCCGCGGCCTCGTCCGCCGTGTCGGCGGCCCAGACCGTCTTCTCCTGTTTCAGCGGCGAGGCGGCTCCGTGTCGGTGCTCGCGGGGGGGGGTGTCTGAAGGGGGGCATCATCGGTCCCAACCGTTAGGGAGGGGGAGAGGCACCATTGGACACCGGTTTCGCTTCCCGTCCCGGGACGCACCCCTGCGACCGCGAGAATCCGCGGGACTGCGCCCCAGAATCCAGATCGGAGTTTAAGGGACGGGGGTCAATGCAAACGCGGGTTAGCCAGGGCACTGGATCCTGCAGGATTATGCGAAGACCCTCTCTGGCTGACCCGGGTTAGCGAGCCGCTGGTGGCCGCGAGGCGGCCGCGCATATTGGCTGACCCGGGCTTGCGAAGCCCTGCGTTGCAGTTTGTTTGTTTCTGCATTGCAGTCTTCTGGCTTCCCGCTTCCCGCTTCCCGCTGCGTTGCAGATCCCCGACTAGACCTCGAGGGCTGCTCATGACCATGCCCCCCTCCCTCCCCCCTCGACCCCCCTCCCCCTGCTTCGAGCAGGGACCGACCGCCCCGGTGAATCCTGGAGGCCCAGGGTTGGACCTAAACGGTGTTCTGGCGATCTCTTGGGCCGTCTTCGTTTCGATGTCGTTCTGCGTTACAGGGGCGGATTGAAGACAACACGAGGGACCACGAAAACCAAACGAAAACGAAAAACACCGTGCCCCACACGAAAACGAAAACGAAAACGACAAACAAAACGAAAACGAAAACAAAAACGAAGACAAGCAATCTCGAAAACGAAAAACGAAAAACCAAACGAAAACGAACACGAACAACAACACGAAAACGAAAACGACAACACGAAGACAAAACGAAAACGAAACACACCGTTTAGCTTCCGCCCTGCTGCCCGCCACGAGGGCCTGCCTCCGCCGCCCCTGGCCCTCCGCACCCATGGGGGCAACGCGGCGGGGCGCCCCCTCCCCGAGGAGAGGCGGCGCCCCGCCGCGCCCCCCGCCGCGCCCCAAGGCCCGCCGCTGAGGACGGTCGGAGGCTCCCCGTGTGCTCGGCCACGCGGAGAGGCTCCGAGGAGGAAAAGGTCCCCATACCTCTACCCTTCGCGCCCGTTTTCCTCTTTTTGGGCCTCCTCGGAGGCCCTCGTCGCCACCGCTGGATTCGCCTCGAGATTCTGGTCAGAACGCACCTTGGGAGAGGTCGGGGGAGTAGCGGTATCGGTACCTTTTGGTTTCCCCAGAGGGGGGCAGGGGGAGGGGGGAGGGCCTCGTAGAAGCGCCCCTGCTTCTCAGGAGGCGCGGGCCTCGTCTGTAGATGTCGGGCCAGCGCCTTGTAAGAAGCAGCAGCCTCAAGCTGCCATGGAGTCTTCCCCCCTCCACCTCACCTACCCCCCTGTGCGCGCCGACGCCGATGTGCGCCGCCGGGGCCTCCGCGCGGAGGAGAAGGGGCAAGACGAGCGCCACGCGCGCCAGCACTTCCTCATCCACCTCCTCCTTCCCTCAGATCCAGGCGTGGCAGTGTCCTCGCGCCGGGCGTCTTCGCCCGCTTCGGGGCCCCGGGGGCCCTCACAGATCGATCCGCCCCGAGAAGTGCCGCAGACAGACGGGGCCCAGGGCCCAGGGCCCAGGGCCCCAGAGTTGTTTTTTTTGCGGCGTAGTCGGTTTTGGCAGCGATAGATCTGAGGGGTTCTCCTGCGGGCCCCCAGACGCCGTGGGCGGCACCGAGGAGCGCCCTGGACCAGCGCCCCGCGCCGCCCCAGCCCCACCTCGGGCTCCTCCGCTTCCGGTTGAGACGACCGTGCCAGTCGAGTGGGCCCTCGGGTAGCGCAAGTGGTTTTCGCGCCACTCTGAGGCCCACTCTTTTCCATGAGACTGCCTTGTCGCCTTGCATTTGTTCCATTCAGTCTTGATTTAAGGCAAACTTGCACCATGCTTGGATCGCCCTCGCATGCCCCTCGATGCGAGGCCGAGGGCGTTTCTGCACGGAGCATCGAAACATGGACAGGTGGCATGATGCTGAGGGGGACTGACCTACCTTGAGCTCCCTGTCTGGACACCCGTTCTCGCAGCGCTTTCGCCCCGCAACTGCCTTGACCGTGCTCTCTAACCAGTCTGCACGGGGCTCACCCGCGGATGGGAGTCGTGGCGCGCTCCGTACCCGAGGACAGAGCTCCTCCACCTACGGCTGGCGTTTGAAAGATCGTGTGCGATGTGGCTCCACGGGCCCGTGTCTTACATGCTTCAGGAGGGGAAAAAACACACAGACACAATTAATCGTCGATTCCCCTGAAAATATGGGAAAATATGGGAAGTGGGTGGGAAGACAACAATCCCAGAAAATATGGAAAAATATGGGGAATACTTTTATTTGTGTGTATTTATTTGTGTGTCCCAGGGCCCCTTCAATGCTGCCCCCCCCACTTTGGGGACAGCGTGCTCCCGAGAAGCCCTGCCGGGGGACGGCGCGCACAGGAGGGGGCCCCCGCGGGGGGATCGCCCCCCCCCCCCAGGGATGGCGTGCTGCACGCGATCGTTCCAACGCCAGGCGTTCCCTGGGTTCGGGGAGCGTGAGACTCGAGTAAGCCGAAACTCGGGTCTGCTGAGGTTTTTGGACGAGCGCGTCCCGGATTCTGACGGTCCAGGCTTCGTGGGAGGTTTGCAGCGGGAGCTCGCGTCGAATTTCAGAGTGGGCCTCGTCATTCTCCTGATGGCCACGCCAGGCCAACCCGAGTCCCCCGTACCCGCTCTTGCAGTTGGGGCGCTGAAGAAGGAACCCTTTCCGTTGGGGAGGGGCTCTTTGTTCCTTGATTGTGTTGCAGTTTGCCTTGGGGTTTCCTAAGGTTCTCCATGTGACATGGAAGTTTAACTTATGGGACAAAGGGGGCTCGTTCCTTATTTAGGGTTCCTTAGGTCAACGCCCCGACTGTACGTCTCCCCGATCGGCGTTCGATCCTGTGCCCGTTGTTGAGCGCAAGCATCCAGCTTTCGCGCCGAAGACCGCCGAAGACCGCGGACCACCGCAGGAGGCCGCCGCCGCCGCCGAGGACCGCCGGAGGAGCGCCGAAGATCGCCCGAGGCAGGTGGGCAACAAGGGGGTCCATGGTCGGGCACGTGTGTAAGTCGGCCACGTCCCGCTACAGGAGGAACAGTCGAACATTGGGTGCATTTGTGGCTGGCTATTTTTACATCTTCGTCCCAAATCCGCCTGTAGGAGGAGGAGGAGGAGGAGGAGGAGGAGGAGGAGGAGGAGGACGAGGAGCAGAGGGATGAAGAGGACGCGGAGGAGGAGGAGGAGAGGACGAGAGGAGGAGGAGGAGGAGGAGGAGGGGGAGGAGGAGGAGGAGGGAAGAGGACGGAGGAGGACGAGGAGCGGGATGAAGAGGACGAGGAGGAGGAGGAGGAGGAGGAGGAGGAGGAGGAGGAGGAGGAGGAGGGAAGAGGACGGAGGAGGAGGAGGAGGAGGAGGAGTACAGTTCGGGCCGAACGAAAGGGGGGATAGGGAAAGGTGGGGTACGAGATCTGCTGCATGCAGCTGGTTTCGGCCCCGCCGCTGGGCCCATGCCCCGATACATGGGCGCCTCCTGGAGCCGGGAGGCGCAGGGAAAATCAGTTACGTGAGCTGATTCTCTACGCTACCCTTTGCTATCCCCCCCTTTCGTTCCCCCCGAACAGTGGAGGTCCATGCCAAGAAGCACCCTGCCTCCAGGGTGCCCTGGGTTTCTTCTTTGGCTTCGATGGTCTCGCGATGGAGCGCGCGACGCTCCTACACCAAGAAATCGATGGACGTCGTGGGGTCTCAGGGTTGGATGCTTTTCGCCGGGCTTCGTTTTCGCCGGGCTTCGTTTCGCCGGGCTTCGTTTCGCCGGGCTTGCCTTCGCCGGGGTTGGCTTTGGCCGGGGTTGGCTTTCGTCAGGGGTTGGCTTTTGCCGAGGTTGGCTTTCGCCGGGGTTGGCTTTCGCCGAGGTGGGTTTTCGCTGAGGTTGGCTTTTGCCGGGGGTTGGCTTTCGCCGGGGTTGGCATTCGCCAGGGTTGGCTTTCGCCCGGGTTGGCTTTCGCCACCAGGGTTGGCTTTCGCCGGGGTTAGTTTTCGCCGGGGATGGGCGCGGGCTCCAACAGGCGGGTCGGGTCGGGCGGGCGGGGCACTACTAAAGTGTGAGGCGCGCTCGAGTGAGCACGCGTGAACCCTGACGGGCGGGTCGGGTCGGGCGGGTGGACCCCAACGGGCGGGACGGATCGGGTCGGGTCGGGCGGACCTTATTGGGCGGGTCGGGTCGGGCGGGCGGGATTTTCAAGTGTGAGAAATTCTGACGCGAGCACGCATGAACTCTAACGGGTGGGTCGGGTCGGGCAGGCGGACCCTGACGGGCGGGCGGGACGGGTCGGGTCGGGTCGGGCGGACCCTAACGGGCGGGTTGGGTCGGGCGGGCGGGACACTAAAGTGTGGGGCGCGCCATAGCGAGCACGCATGAACCCTAATGGACGGGTTGGGTCGGGCGGGCGGACCTTGATGGGCAGGACGGGTCGGGTCGGGTCGGGCGGACTTTATAACGGGCGGGTCGCCGGAGCGAGCACGCGTGAACCCTAACGGGCGGGTCGGGTCGGGCGGGCGGATCCTGACGGGCGGGCGGGACGGGTCGGATCGGGCGGACCCTGACGGACGGGTCGGGGGGACACCAAAGTCTGGGGCGCGCTGGAGCGAGCACGCATGAACCCTAACGGGCGGCTCGGGTCGGGCGGGCGGATCTGACGGGAGGGACGGGTCGGGTCGCGTCGGGCGGACCCTAACGGGCGGGTCGGGTCGGGTGGGCGGGACACTGAAGTGTGGGGCGCGGCGGAGCGACCACGCATGAACCCTAACGGGCGGGTTGGGTCGGGCAGGCGGACCCTGACGGGCGGGACGGGTCGGGTCGGGTCGGGCGGACCCTGACGGGCGGGTCGGGTCGGGCGTGCGGGACATTAAAGTGTGAGTCGCGGGGGAGCAAGCACGCGTGAATTCTAACGGGTGGGTCGGGTCGGGCAGGCAGACCCTAACGGGCGGGACGGGTCGGGTCGGGTCGGGCGGACCTGAGAACGGGCGGGTCGGGTCGGGCGGGCGGGACTCTGAAGTGTGGGGCGCGCTCGAGTGTGCACGCGTGAGCTCTAACGGGCGGGTCGGGTCGGGCGGGCGGACCCCAACGGGCGGGGCGGGTCGGGTCGGGTCGGGCAAGCCCTGACGGTCGGGTCGGGTCGGGCGGGCGGAACATTAAAGTGTGGGGGGCACGCTCGAGTGAGCACGCGTCTGGCTTTGCCAGGGGGGCACGTAGCACCGAGTGACCCTGGGCCTCAGGGGGTCTGAGCAAGGGCGGTGGGGATATGTAGGTCAGGCCGTCTGGGAAGAAGGCGAGGTGTTAAATTTCCAGTGTTGCTGCGGGAACGCAACGGAGCTCCAGCCAACCGGCCGCGGGCCAGAGGAGGAGGGAGGGAAAAGGAGGAACAACACCATAAAAGGACGGGAGCGGGAGGAGGAGGGGAAGAAGAGGAGGGCGAAAACGAACAAGCGAAAGCCAAGCGGAGCGAAAGCCAACCCAGGCGAGAGCCAACCCGGGCGAGCCGGCCGGGCGAGAGCCCCGGGCGAGAGCCAACCCGGGCGAGAGCCAACCCGGGCGAAAGACATCTACTTACGCCCTCGGTTTCTTTTGGGCGGCTGCTTGCGGACTGGCCCCCGCTGTGTTGGCGGCGAGCCCTTGGGGGGGGGAGAGCGAGCGAGAGAGGGGGCAGGGCTCCGCCCCCCCAGATGGCTCGGAGGGCCTCGGGCCCTCGCGGAGAGGTCTTCTGCACACAGGCCCTCCCCGGAGGCGCGGGAGGCCTCTCGCGTGGCGCGAGGGCTTCTGAGAGAAGCCCCGCCGCGAGCCCTTTGGGGGGCGGGAGTGAGCGGGGGCGGGCCTCCGCGTCCTCCGAGGGCTCGGAGGGCCCGGGCCTCCGCGGAGAGGCCTTAACTGCGCACAGGCCTTCCCCCGGAGGCGCGGGAGACTCCTCGGGAGGCGCGAGGGCCTCTATACGGGGAGCCCCGCCGCCCCCTGGGAGGGCCCCGCCCCCCCTCTCGCTTCCCCCGGGGCTCGCTTCCCCCGAGGGGGCGAGGCGTGGGAGGCGGAGCAGCGGCGTATAGCCGCAGCCTCTCGGAGCCCCCCGCGCGGGCTGCCTGGGTCGGCGCTGGGGGGCCCCCCGTGACGGCGCCTCCGGCGCCGCTCACGGCGCTCTCCGCTGGCCAGGGAGGCGGGTGGGAGGCGGGAGGAGGGGGGGGGGCCAAAGAGGGGGAAGGACGAGGGATGCAGGAGGAGGGCATCCTGAGATCCGGGCGTGGCATTTTTGGGGGGCGGGTACCGGGCGGTTCCGCCTGCAATTTGGGGCCCTGGACCCTCGCGCAGCTGGACCGGGCTCGGACAAATTCAGCAGAAAGCTGGGGCCTGGGGCTGTTGCCGTGACTTTTCCACCATGTTTTATTTTTCCGCGTCGCCGGGTCTCCGGAGAGGAGGGGGGAGACATGAAGCAGGAGCAGGAGGGATCCTGGA